TGGCTCAGAACAGGGAGGCCTGCATGAAATTCATACTTGCAGTTTTATGGTTATCTTCAGCAGGAGGGTTGATCCAAAATACCCAGGCTGCCATGACTAACAACTGAACTCCTTAATATTCTTGCATGAATGTTCTCCACAAAATGTGGCATTTCATAGATACACTTGTACCATGGACATGTTCCAAAAGAAAAGTATGATCCTAGGATAAATAAATAGGAGTGTTCCATGTAAAAAGCATTAGATAATCTCCTGTTAGCTGGATATTCTGAATTCTCAACTTAAAAATAAGTTTTAGCACTAATTAAAAAAGATACATGCACCTCAATGTTCAAGCATTATTTACAATTGCCAAGATAGGAGAGCAACCTAAGTGTCTTATCAACAGATGACTGGATAAAGAAGACGTGTATATATAAATAATGGAATACCATGCAGCCATAAAAAAGAATGAAAATTTGCCATTTGCAACATAGTGAAATAATTCAGAGAAAGACAAACACTGTATGATACCACTTAAGAGTCTAAAAAATAAAACAAACCAGTGAATATAACCAAAGAAAAAACTAGTGGTTACCACTGGGGAGGGAACAGAGGGCAAAATAGGGGTAGCAGAGTGAGAGGAACAAACTACTATGTCTGAAATCAACAATACACAAGGGTATGTTGTACAACAAAGGGAATATAGCCAATATTTTGTAACTATAAGTGGAATAGAACCTTTAAAAATTGTGAACCACTATTGTATACCTGAAACATACAATTATACCTCAACTAAAATTACACACACACACACACACACACACACACACACTGGCTTCCCAAGTGGCTCAGTGGTAAAGAATCCACCTGTCAATACAGGAGACTCAGGTTCAATCCCTGGATTGGAAAGATCCCCTGGAGAAGGAAATGGCTACCCACTCCAGTATTGCCTGGGAAACCCCATGGACAGAGGAACCTGGCAGGCTACAGTCCATGGTGTCACAAAGAGTCAAATATAACCGAGTGACTAACACTTTCTTTTGGAGGTTGTGGATAATGCCAACGCATATTAACACACAAGCCTAAACTGTAGATTCTTTTCCTAGGCAGAATTGCTGAGTCATATAATTCTGTTTAACTCTTGAGACACTTCCTTGAAGTATGTGTTGACCTATACGGTTTTCTCCAAAAAACATTTCCACAAGAAATATTCTTCCACAATACAATTAAACATACTGCTATGTCAAAATAATCTTAATTCAGGAATTATTCTAAAGACAACCTAGTCAGATGTAGGTAGGGGAAATGGGGGAGAAAAACATCAACAATGCAAATAATGGAAGTCACTAAGAGGAACCAAGATGGCCAGGAGAAACAATAACCTCAGACATGCAGATGACAACACCCTTACGGCAGAAAGCGAAGAATTAAAGAGCCTCTTGATCAAAGAGTGAAAAAGTTGGCTTAAAACTCAACATTCAGAAAACTAAGATCATGGCATCTGGTCCCATCACTTCATGGCAAATAGATAGGGAAAACAGTGGAAACAGTGACAGACTATTTTCTTGGGCTCCAAATCACTGCAGATGGTGACTGCAGCCATGAAATTAAGACGCTTGCTCCTTGGAAGATAAAGCTATGACCAACCTAGACAGCATATTAAGAAGCAGAGGCATTACTTTGCCAACAAAGTTCTGTCTTGTCAAAGCTATGGTTTTTCCAGTAGTCATGTATGGATGAAACTTGGACCATAAAGGGGGCAGAGCACTGAAGAATTGATGCTTTTGAACTGTGGTGGTGGAAACGTTTGAGTCCCTTGGACTTCAAGGAGATCCAACCAGTCCATTCTAAAGGAAATCAGTCCTGAATATTCATTTGAAGGACTGATGCTGAAGCTGAAACTACCAATATTTTGGCCACCTGATGCCAAGAACTGACTCACTGGCAAAGACCCTGATGTTGGGAAAGATTGAAGGCAGAAGAAGGATGATGGTTGGATAGCATCACTGACTCAATGGACATGAGTTTGAGTAAACTCCAAGAGTTGGTGATGGACAGGGAGGCCTGTCCCTGTGCTGCAGTCCATAGGGTCGCAGTCGGACACAACTGAGCCACTGATCACCCCAACCCCAAATAACATTCTTGATCCGTAAGTACTTATTGCACATATTAGATCACTAATGCATTTTTTTTACCCAATTCATTACTGCACTGTTCAATCATCCTATGTATCAAGTGCTTCCAAGAAGTTTCCACCCCTACATCCATAAATTTCAAACTATAATCATAAATTATACATCAACAAGGATCTTTTGGATTTTCATCTATTACAAAAATCCTTTTTTCCACTGTATTCCAAACTAACACCATCTTCATCTTTTATTAAAATAGCAGAGTAATTCTGTATCCAAGAGGTATTTAAAAATCAGCACTGGATGGCAACCCCAAAAAATTACATCTTACAACTCTTCAGGCAAGACAACTTTATTTTCACCTAATAATAAACCACAATTGATAACAACAAAAGAGACTGTGCAGTTCAACTTTTATTTTAATAAAATCAGAATATGCACAGCACATGCAGTGCTAGCATCTAAACTAATACAATAAGCAATTACTAAAGCTACAGTGACTTGAGGTTCAATCTTTACATTCAGCAAGTTTAAATTCACTCTTACATGATTTTTGAAACCTTATTTATTAACTGAAAATATTGCTTGCTGATAAAACTTGCTCAAATGCTATCGCTGAATGTACAAGTCACTGATTATGCCAATACAACAAAGATAACCACATGTTTCAGGATTGCAATGAGCCAGACATTCACTGGAAAAAAAATACACACAACGAAACAAAACACACAATATTTGAATATGGACACTTCATCAGTGTTTTGAAGTGTTTCATTATTATCTTAAGACGAGTGTATCAAAACCTTGGCATGATTTAATTTAAAGTCGCCAATTTTGTTTTTACTAACATCAGAAAGTTATGGCTACACTGCCAATGCCGGGTCTGCTTAATTTGACTTAAGAGTTTAATATGACTTAACATTAAAAGCTCACACTACCCCGAAATATATAATTTCACGCATACGGTGACATTCAACATTCAAGTGCCAGTGTTTTTGTACTGTCTTTTGGTCAAGTTTCTTTAAACTTTCAAAGAATCACTTTTAGGCTTACAAAAATAAATATTTGTCAAAATGTTCAATAAATATTACATAAAACTAGCAGCAAAAAGTATCTAGAAATCTGTCGTGTGCAAATAGTTTTCTTCCCAACTATCATTCCCATGGTCCCAAATAAATTTTAGAATCTAGTCCCATCCCCTTCCTAGACAAGCTGCGTTCAACAATCTCCAAGAGACAAAATAAGATTGGAAGTTTAAGGACACGCACACAAGACATATATATAAAATTCTCTGAATGTGCAATAAAAGAAGTACTTTGTAAAAAGTTATGGGCAAAATGTACAAGGGCCTAAACCTAGACTAATTGAAATAGCACCATAACAAATGACCTCAATACTGTCAAGTGCACCTACTTAATAAAAGTTTTAGAACAAGGCACAATACACTTGAAAATCTATTGCACTTTAGGAAATTTTTGCCATCTTCCTATGCCACTGTAAAAAGATTGAGCATTTTGATCACCGCATTCTGGCCACAAAATTAGCACAGAATTCAAAAGTGGCAGAGGCATTTTAGTGGTGGACAATGCTCATCTTTGGCCAGATTTAGCATAAACAGACTATAAATACAATGGAAACCTATGCAACTAAAACTGACTAAAACTGCACTGTATAGCAGAATTGACACCTTGTGCAGTTATGTACATATTTCCAACCTGTGTGATCTCAAAGATTTCAGTTTGTTACTCTTCTGGAGCCATTTTTACAAAGTCTATAGTAAGCCAGTTTAACATCTCAACGCAGCTTGAACAGAGTAATATGAATCGGCATTTAAAAGAAAGCCTGCTGCATTTAATTCTTCCTGTTCATACCCTCTTGACCAAAAAACATCAACACTAGCATGCGTTATTAGACCAAAAATCATCCAGGGCCCTAATGAGGGCTCGTCATTGCTGTGGTCAGCCATTCTACCATTTCAATTTCACTTATGGCAGGCATTTAAAAAGTCTAAGTAGATGAATTCTCCTAAAACCCTATCTCAAGTTATCAGACCTTTAAACTTTCCCTGTAATAGTATGCCCACATTTGGCTAGCTCATAATTAATGATCTGCCTAAACACTGAAAGAGGAATTGCTGTATTTACTTGCATTAACTTTGAAAACAGTGCTTTGAATGTATGCATGTATTCATACATCACCTCATCATGACTGGAATGGCTTGTTTAAAGACTATCAGGTTCTAAATACCTATCCAGGATAGAGTGAGCAAATCAGAACTTTAACTTAATACAGTTCGCCACATTAGAAACTAATTCCATTAATATGCTTCGAAGACATTTGTTGTTTGTTTTCCCCCAATCTGCAAGTATCAAAAAGCCCTAATGCAGGCTACTGCATAAGTTTTTTCCTTATAATATTTATGGATGAATCGATGATTCCTGTTAAGTTGTATCACACCTGTGTGCCAAGGTTTGATTTTAGCCCAAGTTCAGTAAATTTATTTTGTCAAAAACAATTGATATCTTGAGCATTACTGAGCCAACAGGACATCAAAATAAAAAGTTGTCTAAAGTTAAAGGCACAGTACATTAACAAACAAATGATCCTCAGTCACAAATTATAAATGCAGTTTGGGATGGGGGTTGGGAGGGGAGTTAATCCAAACTACAGCAATGAAATCTTCAAACCACCTTCTGAACAGGGCTGCTGATTGTTCCTTTCAACTCTTCATGTGACCTTGAGCTCCCTTAAAAAAAAAATTTCAGTGGAGAATCACAGCTGGTAATGTACTGCGAGTTCTTGAAGCTACACAAGGTATAGTCTGGCTAAGTTACATGTGGTTTCCATATTAGCTTGTTTGGCAGGGTGACCTACTGCAAAGCAGGTTCAGTTACCCCACCAGTCAACCCCCTGGGAGTTATAATTTCCTCCATATCCATCACTGTTGTAAAAGCTTCCATAGCCACCTAATGAGATTTAAAAAAAAAGAAGAAATTATTATTAAGTCATCCACTGTATAATACAATCTTTCCCTTCTTTATATATTTTGAGGTAAAATTACAAAAAGCAATCTACAGGGCCATTTTAAATTACGCTTTGAAAAAGATGAAAAAGGGAAAAAAACCTTTCCCAAAGGAATGAGGTTAAAATTTAACATTACCTCCACCAAACCCTCTGCTGCTTCCATGGCCGCCTCCACCACTGCGGCTGCTGCTGGCGCGGCTGCTGCTGAAGCTGGAACTGCTGCCACCACTACTCTGTCGATAGTCTCTGGCACCAAATCCTCCACTGAATCTACTGCTAGAAGGACAAAATGTTAGTTTACATAAAGATAACCCAATTCTTGTTAAAAATTTCCAATGACCAATTTCTGATTTTTTAATTCAAGCAATTCCACCCAGCCCTTCTTTTCTCTAATAGGAATTTTATAAGGCCTTAGCTGTGAAAAGCTGACACTGAAGGTCACTTAAATAACCTTAAAAATCAAAACCATCTCCATCATTATACACCATTTCTAACTCACCTTTTGGATCGTCCACGACTGCTACCCTTGTAGTGGTGTTCATAAGCCATGTTTTCTAACCAAGATGGCACTTCCTGTTTAGCTTCAACAAGAAGATCCAACAAATCCTTGGTAATATTTATGTTCCTCTCATTAAAGAATGAGGTGGCAAGGCCTAAAACAGTTCCAAAAAGTACATAAATTAAGGTCTTCCACAGAGCAGCACAATATTCTTACTTTCATATTAGAAGTAGAATAATTTAAAAAAAAGATAATTTGCTATTTGTTCTTTGAACAAACCTTGACTCCCTCCCCCCCTACCACTTCTGATATTTTAATAGCATTCCATGAAAATCAGAGTTCATCTAAGACCCTGAAAAGTTTTTTGCTGTAAGAATCACACTGAAAATCAGAAATCCCCAGATCATCCTAAGTAACCACACACTTACCAAGGTTTCCCACACGTCCTGTACGACCAATGCGATGTACATATTCTTCAATATCACTTGGCAAGTCAAAATTGATAACATGTTTCACATTTGATATGTCCAGTCCTCTTGCTGCTACCTAGAATATAATTTTTGTTACATATGGTCCATTTAAAAGAAAATAAATAGTTGAACATGCTGACCTAGAAAATAGGATTAAATTTTACATACTGCTGTAGCCACGAGAATTGGGCTTTTTCCTGAGCGGAACTGGTGAAGGGCCTCTTCTCTATCTCTCTGAGATCGGTCTCCATGGATACTGGTACAAGCATATCCTTCATGGTATAAGAAATCCTCCAGAGAATCTGCACCCTTTTTGGTCTCCACAAACACTAAAGTCAGTGAATCTTTGCCTAAAGTTAAAATATCAGAAGGTTTCTGTCACTAATAGTGGTTTGGTTCTCTTTGCACTTAGTAAACTTGCAAATAGAGACAAGTAGACTGTTTCAACAGAATGTATTGGATGAGAAGGAAAAGCACTAAAGGTGATCCAAATAGATTACCTAAGCCACCAGACTGATGCTAAAATTATACCTGTTGCATTTAGAAGATCAAGCAGAAATGACCGTTTGTCTGACTCTTCAACCCAAACTACTTTCTGTGTTATGTTCTCAGAGGTAGAGCCAACTCTTCCTACGGCCAAAAAGATATATTCATCCAAGAAGTCACGAGCAAGCATCTGAAAGAAAAAAATAATATTGTTTTATCATCTATTGAGATAAACAAATTCCTAAGTAAGTAAGATCTGCGGCACCAAACAATACCTGTATTTCCTTAGGGAAAGTAGCACTAAACATCATAGTGTGGCGAACTCCCTTTGGTGGCATAGTATCTTGTTCAACAATTCTACGTATCTGAGGTTCAAACCCCATATCCAACATCCGATCAGCTTCATCTAACACCAAGTACCTGCCATGAAAAAAAATCCAGCTTAGAATTTGAGGAGAAAAGGTAGTTTCTGTTTCTATAAGCACAGTTAATTGTTCATTCAGGTAGTTTAGTTCTTCACACCATACAATCTGACCCTTGTACGTAAGACACAGCACAGGATCTCTGCCACTAAATCGCACAGCCAAATTAGCTCTTATACTTGACTCTGGTCTAAAGGTAGCCTCTACTAAAAAAAAAAAAAAAAATCACTTCAAATTAAAATGACAATGAGCTAACTTTTTATAAAAGTTGGAAGACTAAAAAATGCATTTCACACACTTAAAAATTAACATACTTGCAGAAGTCTAATCCAATTTTTCCTCTTTCCATCATATCCACTAGACGTCCTGGAGTCGCGACTAATAAATGGCATCCACGTTCTAAGTCTCGAATTTGCTGACCAATATCAGCACCACCATAAACCACGCAAGGACGAACTCTAGATCGGTATGAAAACTGTAAGCAAAGAAAAATTTATTAATTTTAAGACCCAAGATTTTTACATGGTCATAAAACACTTCATCAGAATCAATGAGAAGGCCAATAACCTGAAAGGCATACTTACTTTCCTGGCTTCCTCATAGATCTGTACAGCCAATTCTCTAGTTGGTGCCAACACCAAAGAGATTGGGTATTGTTTGCGGCGCCCGTATCTTCCATTTTCCTAAGAAATAATTTATTAAACTTAACATCCTCTCTTAAAGGTTCATTACAACATAATCCCCTTCTGCAATTTACAGATTACATGTAAATGCTGTTACTAATTATACAGATTAGAATGCAAGTCTTATTGTCATTTAGAGAACTTCCCCCCCCACTTTTTTTTTTTTTTAAACTTTCCCATTTTATATAGAAGTATTTACCTTCATGGCCCTCAGAGCCTCGCCAGGACCATCAGAATAAATCTGACTCAAGATGGGCAAGAGAAATGCTGCAGTTTTCCCAGATCCTATTTTAAAGAAAGCATGTTCAATTAACCACAGAAAAACTGGCTTATTACTTTTGAACATATATTGGTAGATGATGGTGTTTTAACTGCCAAATTACTTAGCAATTAATTAGTAATCTCATTTTAATTCCCAAATTAAATTCCTAAAAACAGGCTAATTTAAAAATACCATCAAGTGATGACTTTGATCAACCTATAATAGGAGTTAGCAAACTAAGTCTAAACTATTTATCTTTATAAAGAAAGCTTTACTGGAATATAGCTGTGACCAGTAATTTACAGATCATCTATGGCTGCTTTCATACAACAGCAGAGTAGCTGCAGAGAAAACATGGTCCATCATCCAAAAAAAATATTTTTGTTCATTTACCAAAAAAAAAAAAAAAAAAAACCACGTTTTGGTCACTAACATTGTAGTAGTTTTCACTTCTTTGCTTCACCTGTGTAACGTATGTATGTGCTTAGTCACACAGTCATGTCCGATTCTTTGCAACCCCATGGACTGTAGCCCACCAGGCATCTTTGTCCATGGGGATTCTCCAGGCCAAGAATACTGGAGTCGTCACGCCCACATCCAGGGGATCTTCCCAACCCAGGGATCGAGCCCTGCATTGCAGGCAGATTCTTTACCATCTGAGCCACTAGGAAGCACTTGTGTAAAGATAGCAGGAGTTCTGTCTCAAAACTGGTGTCAATTTCTAACACTTCCTTGTAGGTACTGTATATACTGATAGGAAGGTACTACTTTACTCATGAACGAACCTTCTTTTGGCCACATTCCCATGATCACAGGCTATTCTCTATCTTTCTCTAATTTTCTCTTATCCCAGATACAATAATGTTCTAGTGCTCACTTCCCCACCACTGCAATCACAAAAACCTATCCACTTGTTGCAGTACTATCAGGCTCATGACTTTCTATAGGCCATCCCCAAGATACCATAGTGAAACACTAGAAGTAATATACCCAAAAGGCTAAGATAAGAGATACCATCCCGCTACTCCTTACCAAGGTGTACCAGTCAGGCTACATACAGGACTCAAGCTTCCTTATGAAACTTAAAATGCTCCATGCATATTTTCTTGGTATTGGTTTTATGAGAGTAAGCCAAGTCAAGGTATTCTTGACAACTTTTTACTTTCATCAAGTCTGCTTACCTGTCTGGGCACAGGCCATCAAGTCTCTCTTCTCTTTGATAATAGGAATAGCATGCTTTTGCACTGGAGTTGGGCGAGTGTAACGAGTAAGCTCAATGTTTCCCATAATAATTTCTCCCATCTCAACATCACTGAACTGTCAAGAAATTCATCAGGGTTAATTTAAACAAGCAGAATTGCTATCTGGAGCATTTTGTTTTATACAAATACAATGAGGGGGGAACAACTATCAACCAATTTGAACTTTCAAGTTGCTTTAGTAAAAGTCATCATATTACACATTTTGAGGAAAAACAAAACCAAACCACTCCCTAAGCTTAACCTAAAATGGAAAAGTTTTGGGTTCTTCCTACGTTTGACCCACTTTCTATTTCTTTTTACCCCCAATCATTTGCCTCATTTATTTCAACTCTCAGCTTCTTGACTGTTTACTTTTTAAGTTAGTTTTTAATAGGCAGATAATTACTTTACAATGATGTGTTAGTTTCTACTGTACGGCAAAGTTAAATCAGCTATATGTATACACATCCCTCTTTTGGATTTCCTTCCCATTTAGGTCAATACCCAACCCATTTTCTATTTCAAATTATTAGTAACGGTAACACTAAATTCACTCTCCCCCTTTCCACAAACCAATGAGGCAAGGTTTTTAAATTAACTTTAAAAAACTGTCAAGATAAAGCAGGCAGTCTACATGTCTTTAGGAAGCCCATCTCATCTTGATGTGCTGTGAAAAGATCTACATTTCCCTGTCTTAAAGGTCAAGCAAAAATACCTACACTTTCAATGTGTGGAGGACAGTTGTTGCCTGTTGCCTCAACTGGAATGTCATCATATTTTTCAAAGTTAATCCCAGTGTTGCCTCCAGAAAAGAGTTCTCTGAAATCAGAAGATTGTTAAGTTTGTTACACGGAGCTAATAAGGCTTCATCACAATTAACATACATTTCAGAAACTTACTGTTCCAAGCGTTCACTTGGTGGGAGTGGTTTTGACCAATCATCTTCATCTGATTTGTCACACCAGCGACTATTTCCACGTTCGTATTTGCCAAAACCACCTCTGTCACCACGGCCACCAATGCCGTCATAGTCACCTCGTCCACGATCATCAAACCTGAACAGCACAAGCAATTAATCAAAATCTTATTTAACCATTATCAGATTCCTACCACTAGAACTGTACCTGGAGAGAGGTTCATTATGGCTAATTTCAAGGATGTCACCAGTCCAATTCGGGCTGTCTTACTTGACAAATAAGGCCCTCTAACCAGACTACACAATTTATATAACTTTATTTTCTAAATTCAGTATCCTTCTTTATTATCATATAGCCGATACAGTCCTCATACATGTTGAAATCAAGAATCAAGTCTTTGTACCCGAAACATAATATTGTAAAGCAACTGCACTTCAATAAATATATAAATAAAAACCCTTGGGGCAATCAATCTTATATGTGAAACCAGCACATTAACTTACACCTTTAAATGTTTTCATCCAAATATTTTTAGTGTAGGAGAAAAAAAGGAAAGTATCACACCAAATATCAATTGTCCTGGTTACATTAGGATGCTACTTAAAGGACAACTCACCTGTGTGACAGACTTTGGATAAAAGGTAGAAAATAATCCTTACCTGAATTAAGATGTTTTTAGTTTTAGGCCTGTTTTCGAAAAAGCAGGACACACAGGACTAACCACAGCTATTAGGCGCATGAGGTCAGTTCATCACACTTATGTAATCAAAAATATAAGGTGTTTAAAAATTGTCATAGAATATCCACAAAAATGTCAACCAAATTAGGCCATTCACTAAACTTACGCTTTTAAGTAGAATACATAAAATTAGAGAAATATAAAAATAACTGATAATGCCAAAGGGCATATTCTTATTCTCATTTAATTTCGGTGTAGTAAGTTCAATTTGTCAAGACTTCTCACAGTTTAAAAAACTATGAATAAAAAGACATACTTATCCCAACAGGTGGTCCACTAAGGGGGAAAGATAATCATACTTAAGGGTCAGGGTACAGACCAATTTCTAAATGCTTTATTGTACACATGCAAGAAAGGCAAGAAGATAATAAATCACTTACCTTCCCCTTGATCCACTTCCACGGTCACTGAAGAAACTAGATTTCCCTCTTGAATCACTACGGGAACCAAAACTGCTGTATGCATCCTTATCTTTACTAGAACTCCACCCTGAACTGTCTTTATCATAGAATCCTTCAATTAAAAAAAAAAAGCAAACTCATTTTATTGTAGTAATTAGAAAATAACACTACTTTAAAACATGATTTCTGTGTTTCTGAATTTGAAGCCCTCCGATGACTATCACATCTCTGGACCAGAGGGACAATGGAAATATTCCTACCATGGTACTAGAACATACTATACACTGAGCAAAACCATCAAGTCGGAAAATGTTCTGAATGAATACAACTTCTAAAAGGTCAGTAGGTTTGCCTTTAACACAATGACTATGGTCGTGTTACATGACCATCACAATTTAATTTCATTTTACAGACGTGAATGAGTTTACTAGGAAAGAGCAATCATTATCTCTATGTTTCTTAGAAGTGATATTCATTTAAAACATTAAGAAATTCACTTGGTTTAATATAGTATTTCTTGGTTTCAATAGTAAAAAGTTTAAGAACAGTGCTCTGTTCACATGAAATACATAGTACCAGATGAGAATTAGGAATATCTAGAAAAAAGGAAAATCTTGATACCTACACATTCAGTGTAGACAGGTTCCTAGGGTATAGCTATAAACATTCACTAAGAGGGGATGACAAAGGTGTAAATTAGCCCAACAGGTATATGGTTTAAAGACAAGCAGAGGGTTTAACTAGCTTCAGTGACATTTTATTAAATAGTCCGAGATAGTTTACAAGTTAATTAGGTTCCTTTCCTTCTCCCTTCCGCCTCTACTAGCCCGGTGATTAACAGCCTCGGCTACCAATAAAGAGCTGAGTTAGATCTAAGACCAGTTTCAGCGCCAACTCCTATAGGATACTGCCTCTCTCCCTGCTTTGATTCCTATCACTGCAACAAAGGAGGAAAAGCACTAAATACACATGGGGGTCAATTTCAACTAGCACGTTCTAAGAAATAAGAATCCTACTCTACAGTAACTAAAAACAATGACGTGACAGCGAAGAAATAATATAGGAGTTCTTTTAATGTTTTTGGCCCCATGGCATGTAGGATTTTAGTTCCATTCCCTAGATTTTATATTCCATGTATTGCCTTGAATAGTGAAGCTAATACAACCTACCTATGGATATTGAGAAATGACAGCAAATCATGTGCTCCTGTGGACTCTCCACCCTTCCAATCCTGCTTTCTTTATCCAGTATCTTCCCTCTTCATGACTTTTAGTTTTCCTGACCTCCCCTTTTCCTCTGAATCTCAGATCACCTATTTAAATGAAGCAGTTGAAGCCAGAGAACCACTCCCATCTATCAGGAGCAAGCCTGATGCTTGTTAACTATTCCCTAATAATCCCATTTCATTTTGGCACCTCTGCAAGACAGAAATAACTGGATTGTTATCACTGTGCAGCAGTTTTGTCTACACAGTAGGATCCCCACTCACCTTTTTCAAACTGAAATCATGCTGCTAATGATTACATACACAGAGATTAAGCACAAGACTAGTGAAATTGTACAAAACCATGCCCTTGGCCTCAGAAGAGTTTGACACAGGAAATGCAGATTTCCTCTATCTGACATTAGATGAGTTTTGCCAAGCAAGTAAGCCCTAGTATCTGAAATTATTCTGACAGTAGCAGAGAAGAGCAGTGTTCAGACTTCGAGGTGTCTCACTTTCCCTAAGCTCCGATTTTTAAATGCAGCAATAATTAAGTATACCAAGTTGCTCAAAAAACTTACCTTTAGTTGCTTCTCTGTTCCTTAAGTGAGGAGGAATATAGCGCCCTTCTAAAAGAAATGACAAAGTTAATTTTCATGTTCCAAAAAACCTGAAAGCTTTTTACTGCCATTTGTGATGCTAAAAAAGTCCTGAAAAGAAAAAAATTAAGTCTCTAGTCTGGTCTACTTCTATTTTAAATGAGTTACTGCTTTAAAAAGATGAATTTTAGAAGGGGAAGGAGAACAGGTTTGAAATGAATTGGAACCTAATAGTTGAAATCTATGAACAAATTTAATTTGCCACTAATGGCCAATTTAACACACTATTTTTAAAAAGTCTGCTATGATTTCAGAGAATTATCATAAACAACAAGAGTTGCAACACTGGTACTACAATAATCTAGCAAACACAGAACAAAAATATTAACAAGTCTCTTATGGAGCATAAGCATTACTGTAACAACTTAGAAAGTAAAATCGTGCATCTAGTCACTAAGAAGCTTTTTTGTTCCTGCTCTGCTTAAATCCAAAACAGAGTACACATGTAACATGGGAAAAGCTGCAAAGAGTGAAATGATTTCAAGGAATTGTGGGTTTTGAGACTTGCACTGTTTAAGGAAGTCAACTGTTGTTCTGTATGCAAATAAAAACACAGCCTAGACTATGGGTGAGAACAAAAGCAAGTAATATATATCCAACTAAGTAACATCAACTTGCTTTATTACTAGTTAATCTGCAATTTAACCTCTTCACTTCTGGGTTGAATTAAATGTTAAAGATCTCCATTAGAATGGTCAATTACTAAAAGATTCTTAGCCTGACAAAGTGAAATTTAAAACAAATACCAAGTAACTGTGCCCAATGAGGCCCTTTCTGCCTAAAAATAAACATGCCTTAACTATGCAATAAACAGAGCTTGAAGAAACAGTGCTTTCAGACCTTAACAGTCAATATACATTATTACATTTTTTCTTTCAGTTAATTCAATAGGAAGAGATCTGAGCTGAAGCAGGTCTACTGCCAGTAATAAACCACCAAGAGCCCTTACACCTTAATATTAATCTTTACCATGTCTCAAAAAAAACGCTTTCAAGAGAAAAAAAAAATTTTTTCAAAAAACAATACAATTCAGCATTTAAAATCCTAACCATCACCTTCGAGATTCATTATAGCCTTGTTCTATTAGTAAGTCTCATGTTCTTCATGGGAAAGGAGTGGCTGTACCTGATGAATGTGAATATGTGAATACTCTATTCAGTTTAATTCCAGTAGCTTCACTCTTAATAGTGAAATATACATTCCCACCACCTTTAAGCTGTGTTCAGGATTCATAATGGACATAATCAAGCTATAATTTGTGTGTTGTATAAGGTCCTTAACGATAGTTTTCACTCAAGAAAACTACTCGTTATCAAAAGACAACGCCACCCATTTTTTACACAGTAAAAACTCGAAGGGAAATTCCTAAATTTTAAATAAATCCAATAAAATATTAAGTTATTATAGTTCTAACAGTAACACAACATTGTAAATCAACTATATTCTGACAATTTTTCTTAAGCTCTAATATTCAGTCAATGCATAAAATATTTTACTTACTGCTGGCTGTACTTCCTCCACTCTGATTATCTGAAGAGTTCAGGTCTAGGCCAGCAAACTAGAAGAGAGTTAAATTTTGGTTAGCAGCCCATGCGCAGAAACATTACACTAAACGAAAACTTAGTGAAACTCTTAAGGAGAATGTGACTAAGAATGTGAGCAAACGCAAAATACTACAGTACTACAGTATACACTGCAGAAGGTACCTAACCAAGATGGTGGCGCTATCCAGGAGAAACTGGGTCCAAATTCATAATTCAATCAAAATGAACTTTCCCTGTAACTTATTCCATTGTAAAAGTTCAAAAAATTTAAATTATTTTAAAATGTCAAGTAGTCAGTGGATCATCTTAGCTCCAAACATTTGGAGACAAAAGTTTTCAATAACACCAACTTTCTACTTGGAATTAATTCTAAACCTACACAGCACACCTGAAAAATATTCAGAACAAAACTTGTATCGACCATTTCTTAGCTTTCATTTCTAAATACTGCAATTGGAGTAGCACTCTTCAGAACAAAAATTTACAATATAACCACTACACAACCTTATTAAGTAGGTACCTATTTATTCTTCCATTTTCACAGTTAACCTGAGAACATTTTGTACATACATGGCACATTTTACTGCCTTTTATCTCCATTTCTACCCATCCCTTTACACTGGTAACTTAAAGCCTCAACATTCTAAAAAAGCGCTTTATCGAATTCTGTAATGACTAAACAACTATTTACAAGCAACGAGGAGGAAACGACGTGCCAAAAGCAGAATTTCATGCTTTTAAAAAATCTAACCAGCCACAGGGCACTATTGCCACGTGTTTCCGATAAACCACAACGTTTAAGTCCTCTGTTAAAAGCTTAAGATTACATACTGTCAAGTTGCAAGCATCAATGTAGTCACTGAAAACTGTAAGATGCTAAATCTTTTTTTTTTAAGATGCTAAATCTTAAAGAAAAAAAATGAATACGGTAACACTTTGAGGCAGCTCGTTTCCTAACTTCTATTAACAAAACGCTCCCGTGTTTTCTCTGCACGATTGTCTCATCAACAGACTAACAGTTTAAGGCACAAAAACTTTTTGTACTTATTGCAGTACGTTTTGTTATTAATTTTGCACTTGGCAAAATGAACTACGTAGAGCACTTTAAATGCTACTGTAAATTGCTAGGGTGATATTAATGCAATTTTCTCAGTTGTGAATTTGCTTGCTGCTTAATTCTAACGACTGTGTATCTTTTTTTCCAATTATTTCGCTGTCAAATTTTATTCCTGCTTATAATCTTAGATAGGTGCCGGCACCACCTATATGTTAAATTTTAAAACTGGGGTCTGGCCATGTTCTTGATAACCAGGTTTTTTTTCGGTCTTTGCTCCATTTAACACAGAACATGTCAGCATTTTTAAGATTTATTCTGATTCATTAATGGAAAAAATGCCCCCCTCAACAGATCGCTGAGTCCCTAAAAAATACTACACACGGCTGAAAAATCTATTAACAATTCATTTGTGTCACTCAAGTTCGTTTCAGAATTCTGGAGCTCGCGGTACGCAGAAGTTTACTTAAAAGCACCAAACAAAACATCGATTGGAGAGCTTTTCTGAAGCGTGGTGCCACTGTTGCTGAGGGATGCAGACTTCTGCCATCTCAGCCCAGAACCCCTCCTCTGCGATCACGCGCCCTCCCGTCCTCTACCTCTAAACCCTTACAAGAGGGGTTCCAGTTAAAACGACAAATCCGGGACCTCTGACCGATTTCAAAATTTTCAGTCCACAAGCAGCAACAAGTCACCAACAAAATTGCTTATTTCTTCCCAAGCCACATTCCAGGCGTTTTTTCCCAGGCCGAGCCCCGCACCAAACGTCCCCAACCTGAGGACACGGGTACACTCCGTGGTACCTCCCCAAACGACGCCTGGCTCGGAGCTAAATCTCCACACTGTAACTGTTAAGAGCACGTGAGGCGGAGCCGGCCGTGCCGGGTCTCTAACCTCCTCGCCGCGTTCCACCTCGATCTCCAGAGCCCGGCGCCACCGCGCACGCAGCGGCCCATTCCTCCCTCCTCTCCATCCCCCACCCCCCGAATCTTCTGCGTCACAAAACTTTCCACTCCGGAAACGCGGCCTCGCGGGCCACGGAGCCGAGGCTGCGGAAACCGGGCTGGAGCGAAAAAAAAAAGCCCGAGGAAGGAAGCCCAGGAAGAACAAGATGCCCATCCATCCCCGTTTCCCGGCCCTCGGCGGCCCGTCTTCTCCCGCTCGGGGGGGGGGGGCGCAGCGCCGCCCAGCCACCCGACACCACACAAAGGAGGCCGCCGCCATTACCCCGAGCGAAGGCTACCCCCCGCACCGCCCCCTCCCACATTCCAGGGCCGCGTTCCACCTCCCGCTCACACGCGCGTGCACACACAGACACGCCAACGCCGCCTGGGTCTCCGACAAGAATCTGAGCCGCGGACGCCCGAACTCTCAGGGCCATAAAGGTCCCCTTTCGCGAACCTCCGCGCCGCGCCCCTCCCCCCCGCAACACCCATGGGTCACTAGTCAAGTCGAGGTTCGCGCGTGCGCGCCTCCACGAGCGCGCGCCCCCTCCCCCTCCGCCCGCCTGCGCACGCACACACAAAAGCCGCCATTGTGCTCTGCCCGGGGACAATACCGCCGGCCAAGTTGGGGCCCCTGCGACAGCCACAATCAGCATTCCCGTCACCTTCCCGCTCCCCAACAGCCCCGGGGCACTGACACTCGCTAGCCTGAGGGACCCAGAAAATGGGAACTGAGGGTACCAGGTAGCACTGCGCCACAAGCCAGGTTAGATCGGGGGAGGGATTTCTGCAGCAACAATCCCGGTAGGCTCCTTGCGGCTCACCTGCTGGTCCAGCCCGAGCGCATTTTCCACCGCCACATGACTCATCCCTGAAGAGTACCGAGAACTCGGAGTCTTCCGCTGCTGAGCTAATGTGTTGGGTTCACCGCGAAGGCCCTCTCACGGGAGAACTGCGGCTCTGAAATGCACGGCGCGGCCACGGATCTAATATACCCGCTCGAGTGACTGCTACGTCAGCACGTATGACGTGTGCCCTCCCTCTCACACCCGCACTCCTCCCGCCGCTACGACTTTTGCCTAGCTACTGCGCGCTCGTTTAGTCCTAACCTCGCGGGATTTCCTAGTCGGTCGCGTCTGCGGCTCGCCGTCCTACCTTGGCACTCAGCGCTAAATGCTGTCCTAGATCGCTTGAGTGCCACTTCCCATGTCCTCCGCTATTACCTTTTCTCAAGACTGTCTCGAGATCTCGCGAGACCTCGTCCCCTCCCGTTTTCCCGTCAACTAAGAGACCTGAAAATATAACCTAGACCTTTTTCCCCTTTTTTTCCCAAGGTCCTCAGTTTTCACTGTTCCTTTCTTTCTAGGGAGCGCTCTTTTCTTCTCTCTCAGTCCCCTAGACTTTGAAAAGTGATGCGATTTCTCCAAACTAATGAGCCCATGTATTTTCCCGGGCAGAAGCCCCGAAATCCAAGTTAGGCAATGAGGGGCCCGAAGCCCAGGGGACAGCGGGTCACGTGACCGCAGGTGCCGAATGCGGAGGCCATTTTGTGGAGCAGGAAGCCGTGGTTTTAAATAGAGTGCTCGGAATCGGGGGGAGAAGAGGGGAAAGAGGGAGGGAAGAGACGGGAAGAGGAGCGGGGGAGGGGGAAAGAGGAAGGAGGAGGGAAGAGGGCGTGATGGTGACGGGGCGTAGGGGGGAGGGAGAAGTGGAGGGGCGCTGGCGGCGCGCGCGGGTGGTGGGACACTAGTTGCCTAGGCAGCGGGTTCGCCGCCTAGGAATGCCATAGCCCCTCGGTTCCCACACACACCTCCGACTCCCCCACCAAGAGAGCGCGCTCTGGCGCGCGCGTCCCCGCCCCCCGCAGTTAAGAAACAATGAGACAATCGCGCTGAACACGAGCGGGTGGTAGCGCACCCTCTTGGGACCCCCGCCCTCCGCCGGCAGCACAGCTCCATTAGGCCGCTGGTTTCCTACTGCGGGGCATCCAGCGGCTCAGGGCCGACGGCCACCACCGGCGCGATGCTGCCTCCCTCAAAGCCAGAGGACTCTGGGGATGGAGAGCCGTTCTCCTAGGGAGTCGGAGGCGTTTGTGGTCGGGCGCAATCTGGGCCTGCTGAAGGAAGTCTACCGCATCATCGGCCTAGGTTCAGGGTGACCCTCGGGCCACTGCGGTGGATGGGGAATGGCCGGAATGGATTGGAGGAACCCCTTATGCCCCCCTCCTAAGCAGGCGATCCCCGGTCCCAACCTCAGTGCCACAGATTAAATAGAAGAAAATGTGTTGACTAGTGAATCCCTGGCTTTAAGCGAGCGGCGGCACATACATGGTTCTTAGAAACGTTTTTCTCTTTTCTGACCCTCAGCCTGACAGAATTAAATAATATACAGGGTTTCCAACCATCCCCCAAAGGATCTGCTGCTGCCAGAATTCAAATAGCTCGTTCACATTGCGTACTTTACCACTTTGCTTTTCTCTTCCAATTTTTAAAACTGAAACAAATTCTAACGAGATAGGGAGATAAAATAACACTTCTGTCCTGGGCAAGTTGCTTAACTGCTTTAGGTTTCGATTTCCTCTATAAAAGGAGCTGGACTACATGACCCCGCGAAAGACCAAATTCCTTTTTATAACAAGTATTTGATAATGTCCCCTTTAACCATACTGAAATAGTACACCATAGATAATATAACCTAACAACACACAATTTCAAAAAACACGACCTAACTGGAGAATAAAAGCAAAATAATTATAATAAAGCAATATATTTTAATATATGAATGCTCCCACACAGGGGCACTAAATGATGATAGATACCTGCCTAGCGCAGTCACAAATGCAAACTGAAAAAAGTGTTTTCACAATTCAAGTACCATAAGCAATGTTACATTGGTGACCTTATTTTCCAAAATGGCAAACTCTTGGTAATGTTTGGAACAAAAACACAATAGTCTTCCCTCAATTGATAGTTTTATTCCTAGAATTCAGTGTATATCGAAACGAGGTAAAAATATTTTTGTTTATACGTAAAATATAGTGTTAATTCTAAGCTTATATCATGATGAACTGTTTTTTCCGTTGGGTCAATTTTTCGCTGTATGGGATAGTTAAGATTTTTACTGTCAGATATTGAACGATTCAGATATAGCTAGAATATCTAGCAAACCTGGTCTCTGCTCACTAACTTTGGTAGCCCTTGTCAATCATTGCAACAGCCAAAAAAAAAAAAAATATGTTCACAATGCCCCCTTGAGAACTATTAAGCTTAATAATGATCATTAAGGTCCCTTTCAGCCCTATGAGCATGGGTGAGGTGTGTTTTCACTTGGTTTTGCTTCCTTTTCATATGGACCAGAGTAAACATTTGAAAGCCCAGAGTTCCGACAGTTCAAACTGCATATAGCAACGATGGGATGTTTTGAGTACCCAGGTTCTGGGCTTTATTTTGCTTTTGAGTAGAGCCAATTAAAGGGTACTGCCATGGGAGTATCTAAAAGAATTAAAATATATAGCCGTTTCCCGTTTTTAATTAACCCCTGCTCACAGGCATTCTCAGTTCAAACCACTGGCATGTTTTGTTAATCAATTTGTTATCATTGGAATATCAATTTGGAAAAGAAGCAAAGTAAAGATAAAGCTTTGTTTTCAAACGCATTCATTCTGAAAAAGAATGGGCGCACTTGAGGTAGCTAAATGAGCCAACTTTCACAACACCCGGAATGACTTTACCTCTAAGCAGATATTTGCATATCTTTTCCATTAAGTCCTTTTTGTAGGTTTTATTTTTGTTTGGCCACACTGTGCGACTTGCTGGACCTTAATTCCCCAACCAGGGATGGAACTTGCACCCTCTGCAGTGAAAGTGAGGAGTCTTAACCACTGGATCTGGACCACCAGGGAAGTCCCATCACAAGGCCCTTCTTTGTGAATTTTATTTGAAGGGACCTAAAAATAGTTAGGGAAAATTAAAAAATAAAAAATAAATAGTTAGGAAAAGCTGAAACCAAAGAAACTTTTTTCACCTGTTCCTTTTCTTACATTCCCAGGCATTGTTAAGCTGAGTACCCATGCTGAAACAAATATACTATTTGCACCACCCTGACTCTTGTCCCCTCCTCACCCCTCCATCGGGAGCAGATCGCCTGCCATTCTACTGCTTACAAGCTGTGTGACTTGGGGTAACTTACTTGACATCTTAGAGCCTCAGGTTCTTTGTCTATAAAGTTAGAATAAAAATAGTTTAGTTTCTGCCTCAAAACGTGGTTGGGATTCAAGGGCTCACGCATGAAAGGAGTGAGAATATTTCTATATCTATCTCTCCGTTGTCTCAACTACCCCAGCAGGGTAGGTTGCTGGGCTCCAAGAGCATTCGCTGTTCAAGTCTCCACTCTAACACTCACTATGTTGTACTGCAGTTGCGTGTGAGCCCACGGAGGGAAGGAAACTTGTCCCACCCCAGGGCTGCACAAGGTGTGGTACACAGAGGCCCAATAGATGTTAAAGATGAATGAACAGTGCAGATATCCGGCCTCAGCAACATATGGGACATGTTAAGGGGTCTACATCCATTATTTTGCTTCCACACATGGCTTTAGGAAAATTTCATCACCACTCCCTGAGACTAAGATAGACTGAAATCACATTATCGTGATGCAAATAAAATAAAATGTCCAAGTAGCCTAAAACCTCACAGAAAGATAATTACAATAGTCTGCAACTCGAAGAAAAGCAGTAATAAGAGGAATTCCAAGAGACAGAAACCTCAGAGCCTTTAATCAACCTCATGATTGCCAGTCATTTTTCTGCAAGGTCCAGGAGGTCTTTTGGGTCCAACTGACCCACACTTCCCTTTAGTGTGGATGGTGAATAAAGTCCAAGGAGGGCGGAACTCCCCTGTAATCGGAAGGATAATTATAAATGTAGAGTTAAAGCTGTTGCCTAGTGAGTCTCCTTTTATGTTTTAAAGTGTAATTGCCTTTTTGAGTGTTTGTTTGTTTGTGGCTTCAGATACAACTGGTTAAGCTTCCAATGCCAGGTGATTTACAGTAATTAAGAAGATGTTACGATGAAGGCAGATAAAAGTTCTAAAGGGAATAGAGGAGTCCTAGGCTCTAGGATATTGTTGTACTTTTATTCTCCAAGGATGAGAGCTGGTACATACAAAACCAGCTTTGTTTTAGGCAATTATTATACTCCCCAACCGGCTTCCCTCAGTGGTAAAGAACAGGAGACAGAGACATGGGTTCGATCCCTGGGTCGGGAAGATCCCCTGGCAAAGGAAATGGCAACTCTCTTCAGTATTCTTGCCTGGGAAATCGAGTGGACAGAGGATCCTGGCAGTCTACAGTCCACAAGGTCGCAGAGAGTCAGACACGACTTAGCGACGAAACAACAACAGCGTACTCCCAAATAGCAGATCTGGCCTGGAATCTGCTTTCCTTTCACAAAGATGGCAAGATTAAAAACAAAATTATATTGGAGGGCATCTTCTCTACAACTAATGTTGCTAAAAATATTTTCAAACAGAAGAATCCAGTGTCCTTCTGCCTTCATTCATGCAAAGTGATTGGGCAGTAATAGGGCTAAATAACAAAGAAACCTTGGGTAGAGGCTCTGAACTGAAGGAAAAGGAGCAAGGAGGCTGCCTTGCTTTGAGAGAAAAGACAAGAGGTCTTGGAAATACAGCAAAGGGATCACATACCTTCAAAATTCCTTGCTGTGTCTTAAGTAATAGGAGCATTTTTAGCAGTTTCTCTCTCAGATGATGAAGAACTTGGCCATGACCTCACAGATAGGGCTGAATAGCAGTCCTTGTGTTGGAATTACAATCATTCCTCTGTATCCACGGGGAATTGGTTCCAGGATCCC